GCCAAACACAACAAAGAATGCGAATCACAAAACAGCATGGTAAGGGCGACATCTTTTTAAATGTTTCTTTCAGATCAAGCAAATGTTCAAGACATCATTCAAAAACTGCGAAGGAATATATGCTCCATTCGCTTTTTCAAACAACGTGAGAAGTGAACTCTTCAATGCGACCACAGTCCATTTTCCATGCTTTCAGGTCGCGGTCTTGACATTCGCAGATTTTAAACCGCAAAGTGGGCTGAGGGAGTACTATCAGCAATGGAAAAACTATACAACACCGCCGTTGCAAAAGATTTTTTAAGAGTTGCAACAATACTCGAACCTTTTTGTAAATGGTTTTTTTTTGAAACGAATGTTACCAGTATTCCACACAAATTCGATTTTGTGCCATTGCAAAAGGTCAGCTCATGCAGCGCCTACTAGAACAGTGTCTACAAATTCTAAAGTGATGGCCTTTGGTGGGCATTTTGAAGTGCTTACGGAACTTCAACAAGCTCTTTCTTCATAATCGTCTTTTTACAACTTTTGAGCAAGTGTAAGAAGTGATGTCAAAGAGTTAAAAGTTCTAAACGTCTCGCATAATTCATATAGTTTTTCCAAGCGTTCTCTCTCCCTCCCCCCTTCCCTCCCTCACAAGGCAAATCTCACAGAATTATTCTAATCTCTATGCATGAATTTGTTATAGCAAAAACATCAACAACAAAGATTCGAATAACATGATAACAATTGGCACACCGGCTCCGCCTGATCCTGTTGATACTGCACTATTCTACTACTAAACCTATACCAGTGTTGGCCTAGATTATAGTTCCACACAATTTTGTAATATCAAAGAAGTGCAGCATCAAATGAAGCTCACATTTCACAAGTTGATTATCCTTTGATTCAATGGAATAGGCCCCCTGGAACGGCGACTGCTCGCATCCGCAGGCGACCGCTCGCGCCCGCGCCGCATCTGCGTCTTTCCCGTGCGCATGATCTCTGTGATCACTCTCTAGCCTTAACTAGGTCACGAAACCCCGCCCCTCAGACGCCCATCTGGTTGTATCAAGGGATATTAATTCTGCCTATCATTCTTTTTTGATATAAAGTTTCCGAGAATTAGATAAGTTTTGCGATGGCATCTGGGATCTGGGATTAAGTCTTGAGGACAATGACACGGTGGTCTGCTGCGTAATGCGGAACTTTACCAAACGC